TAATAATTCTGCACTCCCTGTACAAGTATGATTTTAACCAGTTTGATAGCATATCAAACTGATATTAAAAACAAAGGTGGAGGGTGTCAGGAAACTTTCTCTGTTAGATAAGACTGTATAAAATGCTGTTAGTTCATACCCCAGTGTCATGTCTGTCTGTTTCCGTGTTTTCCTGTTGTTTTTGTGGGGTAATCTGTGGGATCACACTCACCTGTTGTTAATTAGCTTCACTTGTGTCACCTGGTGTTCCCTGTGTATATATACCCCTCTCCCTCACTCTGTCGGGGTTGGATCATTGTGATTGTGTGTTTTTGGATCATTGTGTTAGATCTTCGTGTTCGTGAGTTTCCTACTCTGTTTCCTCGTGTCTTTGTTTTGAGAATTCCATGCCTGCCTGTTCTTCGTGTTTTGTTAATTTTTATTTGTAAATAAAACTTCCTGCACCAGAAAGAGTCTCTCCAGTTCTGCATTTGGGTCCTGCCTGCTACCTGCGTTGCCCTCACGTGACACCCAGTTTCCTAACACACAAAACAATTCAAATAAAATTCAAATAAAGGTCTGATCAAATAAAAAATCAAATACGAGATCTCAAGTTTTAAAAGTTTTACTTGCAAGCAAGGAGTGCAGAACAATGGTTACATTCAGAACTGCACTGAGGAACTCCTCAGTGCTCAAAGCTTAAATACAGTTTTTTACACACACATCAATGGTCAGAACCTTAACCCTTTACAGCCATGTGGTGTTCACGCACCACTTCTGAGCGCTGATTGGCAAAGGCTGCTCCAAACAAAGATTCTCCACCAATAGAAAACATGTACATGTGCTGAGCTATTCTGCTCAGTAACTCAGGTTAGATCAAAGAAATGCACTTTGGATTCTTTTCCTGTTTGATGTTCTGTTTTCCTCATTATTTGGGCAGAGAAACTGGTTCAGGCCGGTTCTGTGACTATCTGTCTCTATCTCCAAGCGTAACAGTCAGTGCCATCAGTAGCATACACCATCCTGTTATGTAAACCATCAGCATGCACACCTTTCTTCAGTACTTCTCCTTTTAGCACAGCGATTCTGCCAATGAGCAAAGATGGCGATTGGTTGAGGAACTTGAATTATCTGTGAAAAGGAAACGTGTGACAATCGCAGATAAATGTTGAATATGTTTATGAATCTTTTATTCACAGCATGCGTTGAGTCAAACACAGGACCTGTCCGAAGCCCCCGCCCCCCCCCACATAGCTTTTTTCCCTGTGGTCAGAGACTCATTGACCCCCACTCCTTTTAACATGACACATACTGTGACAGAGAAACAACTTGACAATTGCCTCCACACTCTTCTCCATCCTCCCCATCCCTTCTTCTCTTCAACTCGCCGATTCTGAGGTTTCAAATCCCAACCCAACCATATAATTTGTGAAAAAGGTGTGGAAAAGGTGTGAAAAATGTTAGCTAAAGACTCCACCACTAGGTTTTGTAGTAAAATACGTGGTTTTCAAAGAATGGGCAAGTTTTTAGACAAGTCTGGGGATGGCCTCATAAATCCCAGTTAGACCGGAGATGCACCGCCGGGTCCAGAGGGAGGGCCGGCTAGTCTGCAGGTGGTCCGACAGTAGACCTGGAGATATACTGGCTGGGTCAGAGGTGTACCAGCTGGTTATCCAAGAGTGAAGGGGATAAAGGTGACTAATCTGTCTTTTACCCACCTACAATGTTGTCCTGAGTTCACTCATTTCAAGGGGTATAGAGCCAACTGGGTTCCTCAGGTGATCCCAACCTCCCATGTCCAAACCAGTTAAGTAGAAACAAATGGACTATCTTGGTTTCTTCAGGAGGCTTCTTCATTTAAAAAGGAAGAAGAAGTCTCTTGGATTTTTCTAAAGAAATCGAGACAGTCCACTTGCCATCTACGTAAGGGCTTTGAGTATAAAGACATGGATGATTGAGAACCTACCTAGACAACCTCCCACGTGTGTTTACAGCGACACCTGTAGGCATCTAGGTTCTCAATCTGTCACATTTTGTTTTTCATTCAGGTCACATCAGAGATGTCAATTTAGTTTATAATGTAAGCAACAAGGCAAATTCAGATGTCATCAAAAATTTCAGGAATGGTGGAACAAGATTTTCAGGGTAAAGGTATCCTCGAGATGGAAAAATGAACACTGGTACAGGTTTTTTTTTTTTTTTTTTCAGATACAGCAGGAAGAACTGAGATCAGTGATGTTAATGTTCACTTGTAGAATTCTCACCTGGGGAGGGTGATTCT